CTCCCCACTGTATATACATATATATATGTATGTTTGTATTGAATATATATTCAATACACACGTGTATCGAACAATACCGATTTTTTTACATTTTTTTCATCAACTTGTCTTCTGAAGATGCTCTGTGTTAAAGGATCAGTGGATCTGTGTTCGACTACTCCACCTAGGCTGCATTTTCGAGCGCAGATCCACTGAGAAACTTGCTGTTTTCAGCAGCATCCTTTTTAAATAACCTGTACATTGAAGTTAAACAAATGACCATAATTAATTTCAATAAATTACAAGTTAAAAAGGGCGTTGAAATTTCTCTTTTTTTGTATTAAAAAATATCAAAACGTGAGACTAAAGAACCGAACTGAATCGTGAATTTTCTGTATCGTTGCGCCCCTACTTTACATGTTGGTATAATTAACGGTGTGACCCTCAATGAATGTGCTGTACAATCAGCAAAAGGTTTACATTTCAAATCACTATACTGAGCGAGGAAGTCTCAAACATTCTGGAGTGTGTTACACAAGATAAAAAGTAAAATAATGTACTTGAATTAAAACAGCTTACAGGAAAGGTGGGTGATCTTTTCATCAAGATTTCTCGCTCTGCATCTCTCCCTCGGTCAAACATTGTGGGGTCAGGGTACAGGAAATCTCTGCTGTTTTTCTCCATCGTGGCCAAGATTTCACCCTCTAAAAGCCACCCACAAACATTAAAAAAAATAAATAAATAACAACACACAGATAAAAAGAATCCATGTAAAAGATGTTGATTTTGCACTGTACTTAGTAGATAGAGTGGGATTTAACGTGGCCATATGGCATCGGAAAGCGTACCTGGAGGGACCAACTGAATCAGCTCAAAAACTGTTGTGTCAGCTATGAGGAAGAAAGGCATAAACAGACTGTGAGCTAATGATTGCTATCTCAGCTAATAGCCTATAAGATTGCGCAGAATACAATTTAGGGCTAAGAGATGAGAAAGTAAATCCCAGATGGCCGTTTACCTTCGAGGAGGTCAGCAACATCAGCAGGGTCAACAACACCCGAGAAAGTCTGGGGAAACAAACAAGAGCGCAGAACAAAAGATCAATAATAATAACAACGTCAGGCTGACAGGCCAGTATCTAACACTGCCATTTACTTTAGTTACAAAGAGAATTTTTTATCTGAACTAAAAGTAAAATCATCTAATTGGAAGCATAGAATAAAAATTATTCCAAGTACTTTTATTTATATTTTTGATATTAACAACGTATGACAAATACTGTTGTCTGACTTTGAATACTTGGAAAAAGATCTGTACAAAAATGTAAAGGAAGTCATAAGAAAGGCTTCTTTTACAGTTTTTTTTAAAATGAAAAAAGTCTTTAAACAAAAAAAAAAAGTTTCAGTGGTAGAGAAGGTGCAACTTTAAAAATAGATAAATCACTAAATTTCCCACTTGCTTTAAACCCACAGCTATACTGTCTCAGACAGAGGATTTTTATTTATTTATTTTATGTCATCAACTTTATTGGTCAGACCTTGACAAAAACCATTTTGTGGTGAAACCGTAACGGGAAGATTGGAGGTAAACACAGAGTCTTCCTGTACTGGCCCATGATCCGCACACTGAGGTAGATGTCATTCTTCTTATGCAGAAGCACTTCTGGACACGTAACCTGCACACAATCAGTCCAACATATCTGATATAACAGAGTGTTATTTATTTATTTATTTATTTATTTATTTATTTATTTATTTTCAAAACCCACATATGCAGTTTAGATAAACTCATTCATTATAGAGTTAAAAAGGTAACACAATGTGTGATGGAGCTTTGGAGTACATTATTTGGTTTGATTACTTCTTATGTTTAAAATAACAGTAAAACTATTTTAATATCTTGTCCCATTAGATTTTCCTTTACCTGCATTTTTAACAAATGTTTGAAACTGAAAAGCTGAAAAATTTTTAGATGGCTAAACAGAACACACTCTTTGATATCACAAAATGTATTATTGAACTTTATGTGCTAGCTAGTAACTCTTCATGCCCAACGCAGCTTTAAAAGGACAGAATGAAAACATTGATTGTGTAATATGCACTGATTTGATAAGAGAATTCAAATTAATTTTTTTAAAAATCAGTTCATAGATTCTTTAAAAAATGAAAATCTGGGTCTGATGTGCACAATTTATCACTTTACTTATCAGTGTTTTTTACAAATATGTCTAAGGAAAATAGCTGTTGAGAGCAAAGATTTAAAAATTAAATGCAAACCACCAGAATAAGCATTTTACTGTACAAATAAATAAATACATAATTTTGAGATAAACCACAATACAATCTCTTGATGCCCACCAGTACTTTAAATTAGGTGTAACTGTATGGAAAGTTCACCACCTTTCTGTAAAAAAAAATACATAACAACCTTGGCTAAAGCCATAAGGTTCAGATCTAAGCCTTGCCCTTAACTAAGCTGGATGTTTTTTTTTTTTTTTTTCCCAGCCACTATAGCTACTGTATACTGGTGTGGTGTAGTCACTACAATTTATTACTCTAAAATCGTTTACTTGTGCTTTATCTACTTTCCTGGCATGATGTTCTAACACACCTTCATAATTCAGTCCAATAAAACCGGGAATAAAACGCAATATCATCTGTTCATAGATGACCATTCGATCAGCAGTGCATCCCTAGTTTATCCCAAGGGGAAATGGGTTAAGGATGTAAATCAATATATATAAAATCACATATTGTTCAAGAAAGATTGTGAGGTTCTATTTTGCCCGTCATCTGTCGCCCACAGCTAACTGAGTGGTCGAGGATGCGATCTGGCTAACTAGCTAGCTAATGTCAAGAAAGCTCGAGCAACAAGTCAGTTTGTTAGTTTTGTTCCAAAGCGTTGGTATGAACACACACTTACTTTCAAAATGTCCAGGTACACGGTGCATTTCAGACACTTCTGGTGGATTTCAGAGGCAATTTTCTTCACTGTTGCCATCCATCTAACTTTCAAAGTTCGTTGTCATGACTTCCGAGCAACAAGCGGACGTGGAACCACGTGATTAAAAACTAGCCAATCACAGCCTGTTGATCCATCCATCTTCTATCTATCTATCTATCTATCTATCTATCTATCTATCTATCTATC